TGAGTGGATTGGAGAAAGAATTTTAAGTGGAGAAAAAATTTTAAGAAGAATGGTCAATGAAGAGGACTGAGCTGTTAAGAGAGGAAGGGAGGATTCAAGGCAGAGGAAATAATAGCGACCTCAATGAACATGTGTTGATAAATTATGCTCTAGAGAGTGTATACCAATATTCACTCCCTGTAGCAGTGCATGAGCTGCCTGTTTTCCAAGTCTTGCCCACACTGGAAATGATCATCAAAAAGGAAATCTTTGCTTAATTTGTCTAACGGGATTTTCTTGTTTGTTCTGAATTCCTGAAAGATAGATAGCCCCAGCACTCTTTTCTGGAAGAACACTTTCAGCACTGGTGCGCTATCATTTTTTCCCTCTTAGGTATAATGTTCCCCAGATGTGGGGGTGGGATCCATCTCTAAGATGACCCAGAGTTGTCAATTTTGACCACTGTGACGTAATGTGCTTCCTCTTCCTGGCACAGGAATGATGATCATACAGGAACACACACGAAGGGACAGCAGCGGTAGCAAAACCACATGCCCCACTGGGTGGCCTAACCTAGATTTCTGCCCTGAAAAGGGACTGTGGCAGAATGAGCAAGAGCAGTCCTCGGGCAGGGTGCCCAACTCTTTGATTGAACTTGATTCCTCACTGAAATGCGGAATTTGGTCTTGCGGCATTTTTGGACAAAGATATCAAGGCCATTCAAACTTATCAGAAAGTATATGTTTTCTTATCAGTTCTGCCTTTTTCTTTATTGGCCAGTGGGAGCAGGGGCACATGTGCTCCTTTCTGGTGTGGATGGATGAAAAAGTGGCTGCATACCAAACCTGACAGGCTCAGGGGAGACCTACAAGGTGGGCCTTATAAACTCAGAGACCAACATGCATGGAAGATGGTCTAAAATTAAAACTTTCTAGGTAAAAGTGTGTCACGGTAGATAGTCATGTCCTAGGATGGTATCTTTCTTGACAAAGAGATATTTTTTTAACCATTCATTCATTCATTCATTCATTAGAGAGGGGAAGGGAGGGAGGAAAAAAAGGAGAAAAAACATGGATGTGAGAGAAAATCATTGACCGGTTGCCTCTTGACCAGGGACCAATTTGCAACCCACATGCACGTGCCCTGACCAGTAATCAAACTGGTGACCCCTCGCTGTGCAGTACAATGCTCAGTCAACTAAGCCACACCAGTCAGGGCACAAAGGTCAATCTTTATCTTAAGTGAATCTGTCTGTTACCAGACAGGGGGCCTGACCCTGAGTGGGTCTGACCAGGGCCAGCCTGTAGTATGTGGATTCTTGATGTTGTATAGAAAAGATTTCACAACATGAGTCCTGGTGGCTATGAGGGTGTATTTATTAAAGCTGGGAACAGTGAAACAAGGGAGGGCTTAGAATAGAAGAAACAACAGGAGCAGCCAGGTTGAGCTGCCTTAGCTCACTGGGAAGTCAGAGCAAAGGGGCTTTAGGGATGGCAACAGGGGATTAGCTTGGGACAAGCTGCTACTGCCCATTTATCCTCCGGTTATAAGTCTCAGGCTCCCTTAGAGTTTCGGAGATGTGGGCCTGTGGGGGAAAGAAACGAGGGAAGAAGAGGGAAAGGAAATGATACAGGCTGCTCCCAAGAGAGAGAGCATGCATGCTGGGTCCTTTGTTTTGAGTTTTTGTCTCTCTCTTGCAGGTGGGAATCTTAGGGGAGGTTGTAGGTGAGAGTTTCAGCAGAACATTCATCAGTGTTCCAGTGTGATTTTTCAGGGCTGCAGTCTCCACTGATTGGTCAGTGCGAGGGCAGACAGCCTTTAGTCACTGCAGCTGGTCCTGACACCAGGTTTTGCTGCTTTTCTGGGCCTGGACCTGAAATACAGCTGAGGCCTAGATGTTATTTCTAGGGAGGTGAATTTTGTATCTGGCTGTAAATTGCTTGGCCAGTTTGTTCAGCTATTTTTACCGAACAGAAAGTGGGCTTCAGCTGCCTGCTACTGCCCATAGGTAAATTCTGGAGACAGAGGTTTGGTTAAAAAGGAAAGAGGTATTTGATTCAAAAGCTACACAGTCTGGGAAATGGCAGGCTCCTGCCTGAGAGCCCATCCCCTGCAGAACATCCAGAGAAAAATCCCACTATCCTCTGCGAGAGAAATTCAAGGCTATGCCCAGAGTTCCTTCTCCCATTTAAAAATACTATCCTTTGGGAACCACAGGTGGCTGTAGCACAACCATCCAGGCGGCATGGTTTGCTCCCAGTTGCATTATGGCTTCAGGCTTCTCCCTGGAATCTGCGTGTGGGGCTGGTGCTACCATGCTGCTGCAACCGCTTCCTGATCTGGGGCCCAGGGCCGCTGCCAATTGTTGTGGCTGGCCAAGGTGGGGGCTCCATTGTACCGGCCATGGGGCCCAGTAACTGCTGGTCCTGCTAACACTCTGGCCTGCATGTCTCCACTGGTGGGTCCCAGAGGGAAGAAGAGGGGAGTTTCTCTCTTTTCTCCATTTAAATCTCCTGGCCAAACTTCCATGTACTCTGGAAGGGCCTAGCTCCCCCAGCCAATCTCTTTCTTTTCCCAGGCTAGACTGACAGGACAGCACCTCCCCTGCCACCATATTGACCTTTATGGTACAAATGCTGCTGTGTCCCCTGGAACCCAAATGGAATAGGAGGACTTTTCCCTCTGTCAATCACTCTTGCTAGCCTTGCACAGACTCCATGTAGATTTCCCTGGGGCAGGGAACATTTGTCATCCTGTGCACACAGCTTCACCTGCACTGCCTTGGGCATTTCCTGTGGCCCCTCCCTCACTCCGGTGTCTGATCACATGGCCTGGTCTACCTGTATCACTATCTGTCTGAATTTCCTTATTCCACACCCCAAGGAATTTTCCTTGCTTCTTACTATTCTGTCTCATATCTATTGTCATTTTGCATCTAGGATAACATACCTTTAGAATGTCAGAATAATTTCTTCCCCCCACCCCCCCACCACAAGCACTGCACCAGAGCAGAGACCACAAAGCTCCTCATTGCTATTATCATGTTAGTCGTTGACTGTTAACTATTCTATACCCACCTGTGAAAACAAATATGTGTCATTCATTTTACTTTTTATCCAAGCCCCGAGATTTTCCCCGCTTTGCTTTCTCCTGCTTCCCTAATCTATCACCAGTGGATTTCATGTAACTCCCTTACACCTCCTCCTTTGATTATAATGTGTAAAATAAGGTGCAAAACTGCTATTTTCTGGAGCATTTTCTCCATCTGTTGAGATTTTGCTTGCCAGTAATTGTCATCAGTTTGGTTCAAATAAGCTCATAAAAATTCTCTACAGGTTTGAATGTTTCTTTTGTTGACATGATTTTATGAAAATCAGATAGAAACTTGAGTATGAGGGACAAGACCGTATCTCAAATTTGGATGCAGGCTGTGGCTAGAACTGCTTCCATCCTCTGGCCTTCAGAGGTGGGGTAGTCAAAGGCAAGGGTGGGGGAATTTGGATGGTAATGTTTACCAAGTCCTATGACATGACACAGATACAGAATTGCTCCCAACACCACTCAGTTAGGTGGGAGTAGCTGGTGTCCTTCCAGTCAAGCTGTGTGTGGTCTGCCTCTTTTCCCAACATAGAGGAAGATACTAATTCATCTTAGACTTATCTGGTCTGACCTGTTTCATTAGGTACTTTAGCCATAAAATCCCCAATGTGAAAGTGACATTTTATGTGGTCTCCTACTGTGTGCACTTGCTACTGTTCTTCTAATCTTTACCTACATGACCTCCCAGAGGGAAAACATCCCCCCTTTTAAGTTATGTCTAGCCATGACCAGTATGGCTCAGTTGGTTGGGCATTTTCCTGCAAAGTGAAAGGTTGCCAGTTTGATTGCTGGTCAGGACACATGCCTGGGTTGTGGGTTCGGTCCCTGGTTGGGGTGTGTATGAGAAGCAACTGATGGATGTCTCTCACACTGATGTTTCTCTCCCTCTCTTTCTCTCTCCCTTCCCTTCTCTCTAAAAATAAATAAAAATAAAATCTTTAAAGTATGTCTAGTCTTTGATCATTGTCAATGTAAGACATGTCCAAACTTGTGAGAATTTTTTTAAAATTTTATTTTAATAGCTGTTCAAGCACAGTTTTCTGTCCTTTACTCCCATAGAATTTTTGTTTATTTGAACCAAACTAATAACAGTTGCCAAAAAGCAAATCTCAACAAATTGAGAAAATTCTCTGGAAAATGGCAGTTCTACCACTTATTTTACACATCAGAATCAAAGGGGGAGATGTAAGGAGGTCACATAAAATTTACTGGTGATAGATTCACTTTACTGATAGATGGTCACTTTCACATTGGGGACTGTATAGCTAAAGTACCTGATGAAACAGGTCAGACCAGGTAAGTCTAAGATGAATTAGTATCTTCCTCCATGTTAGGAAAAAAAGGCAGACCACACTCAGCTTGGAGAAAGCAAATTGGAGAAATCTCTGGGATTGGATAAAAAGTAAAATGGAGAGACACATACTTCTTTTACATCGGTGGATACAGAATAGTTAACATTTACAGCATCTAGAAATGGTATTCGAGTGTTGGAAGAAAGCCCCAAAAGTCTAAATTCAGGACCGATTCGGAAGAACTGACAGGTAGCCTTATTCAGATTCAGAGGAGCTTTAACAGGAGTAACTTACATACATGGGCAAAACAGCTACTCTAAGTGGTGGCTGGCAGGGAAGAACCCATACCCCTCCCGGGACAGGATCCTTTTTTTACAGATGGTTGATAGTAAAACCATAAGGTGGTTAGTCATGAAGACCACCAGAAAGAACAACATATTTCTGAGTTAACAGATAACATCAGGTAGTTATCATACTCTATACATTCATTAACCTCCTTCCTGGAAGCATTCCACTCCAGTTTTCTGGGTAGTCAGCCAAGCCTGAGGCTACAGAGGGTTAACAACCCAACATTTCCCAGGTGCCTTTGCTGCTGGAGCCCTGTTGCATCTCAGTGAGTTTCCCTGCAGTGGGGAACAAGACAACAATGAGGGGTTCCATGGTCTCCTGCCCTGGCGTGGAGATTGTGTCCTTAGGGGTCTGGAGAAGGAAATTACTCTGACATTTCAATACTTGATCCCATTTCAAAGGTAAGTTATTAGGTATGTTATCATACATGCAAAAAGATGACAGGCTCAGTTAAGATAAAGGTTGACCTTTTTTAGGGAAAAATACCAGCCTAGGCCATGACTATGAGCCATGAACCACTTTTAATTAAAAAGTTTTAATTTCAAACCATCCTATGTGGTTGCTTTTGGTCTCTGAGTTTGTAAGGCCACCATGTAGTCCTCCCTGGAGCTTGTCAGGTTTATATATACGGCCCCTTTTTCATCCATGCGATCATAATTGTTTTCACATTGGCTTAAGCCTTCTGTTTTCCCAGGTGTGTCTGCCTGAGAGCTCCTTTACTGTGCTTCAGGACCCCCTGCCTCTGTTCCCAGGAGCATGCCTCCAGGTCTCAGGGAAGCTTCATCACACTGTAGAACTGGGGAGGCAGAAAAGCTGGCCAGCACCCCGTCCCTTGCTACTGGTTGGCACCAGTGTGTTGTATTTAAAGAGACAAGCCAAAGTATTGGGTTGGCTGAAGAGTCCATGTATTTTTCTTTCCATACAATAAAATGTTTTTCATTTTCACCAATAACTTTATTGATTTGGATATTTTGAGTATGTCAGCTATCTTCTGCATGGTATAACATTGATTGTTCTCAACTAATGTCTCAATTTGATCACTGTCAGCTTCAACTAGTTTTCCTGACCTTGGAGCATTGTCCACCTAGAAATCTCCAGCACAAAACATCACAAACCACTTTTGACACATTCGATCAGTCACAGCATCTTCTCCATACACTGCACAAGCCTTTTTCTTTTTTTTTTTACATTTTAGTTTCAGTTTTACCTTTCTTGAAATAATAGAGCTTAATATACCAAAAACATGTATTTTCTTTCATCTTCAATATTAAAATGGCTACACCCAAATCACCAATTTTGGTGTTTTTTTAAATGTATGCTGATATGATAGCTGTCACAAGACAATCTAACAAAAGTGTTTCCAATGAAGTTAAAGACAGCTAAGCGCTACTAGAGCCATCTTATGGAGAAAACCAAAGAAACTTTTTGGCTGACCCAATACTTGATCCCATAGTTTATGTTTAGAATAAAAATATAAAGATGGTGATTGTTTATTAAATAATGTTTTATTGAACAGCAATTTAGTTTTCTGAACATTTCAGGCACATTGTCAAAGATAAAGAGTCTTCAAAGCTTATTATATACCCAATGCTGGTTTTACACCTTTACATGTATTTTCATTTTGTTCTTATGAACATCCTATGAGATAGGCACTGTAATTACTATTCTCATGCTGCAGATGATGAAAACTTGGGCCCAAAGACATCAAGCAACTTGTCCAAATGGCACAGCTGGTGGGTGTCTGTCTGGCTAGGATTTGATCCCAGGCAGCCTGACTCCAACATTGTCTGTGTCTGAGCTCTACACCTTTGGAGTACGTGCTCTGGCTTTCACATACTCAGCAGAACATGTGGTTACAGACTAGCTCACAAATGAAGGCTTTCTTGGTAGGATATTTCTTCAAGATGATACTAGCAGTCTCATATATGAAATATTTTTTAAGTAAAATTTATTACAAACTAATAACACATGCAAGGGTGAATGCATGCTGCATCATAGTAGAATTAATAGTTGGAGTATAAAACTACCCTGTAATGAGATTTTTTTTTTAGTTGTTTTTTTTTTCAAATCTGGCCTTCTACTTTTCTGGGGCCCATGGATACAACCTGGTCCTTGAGCTATTGCCATGTAAAATAACAAAACAACAACAGCTACTGTTTCCTGAGGGATTTTATTTAGCTCTTTCTATGCATGATCTTAAATCCTTAAATCAACTTTAACTATCATTGTTCTTAGTTTACTGATGAGGAAACCAAGGTTTATTCACTGTTAACTGAGGCTCAGAGAGAATCTTTCAGATCTAATAAATGAGAAGAGCATGATTCAAACCCAGGTCTCCCTGATTCTCAGGCATGTGCAGATAAGCACCACACCCTCTGTGTGGAGACTGGGGAGCTCTAGGCATCACGAGACCACACTTATGTCAGATGCCAGCATGTGAACCCATTTGCTTCTGGAATTCAAACAAATGTCAGTGAACATTAGCTAAGTTTTGGGTATACTCCTAGGTACACTGGCAAAGATACACATTTCGAAAGAGAAAGTAGAAGGACAGGTCAGGATTCCCCCTTAATAACAGGTAACAATTATTGAAGGCTTTTTAACTTCTTTACATGTATTCTCATTTTGTTCCACACAAAATCATATGTGGTAGGCTCAATGATTATTATCACCATTCTATAGATCAGGAAACTGAGTCACATGTATGTTGCTTAGTAAATAGATATCTTGGGCTGAAGGATACATAAAGCCTTGGTGGTACACAGTGTGTCAGGCCTATTCCGTGTGCTGTGTAAGAAGTATTGTGTCTTGGAACTGGCTGTGCTGTGACTGGAAACTCCTTTGAATTGTGCCATATTCATACATCCAATTTCTTTACTTAGACTGTTAGCCCCTTGCAAGCAGAAGTCCTGTCTTTGAGGTCTCATGCCCTTACCCTAACTGGCCCGGAGCTGGCAAAAATTCCATCCTCAAAATCTTTACTGACTGTGTATGTCAGGAGCATGTGAGTGGCTGTGGTTGTGGGCGTAAAGCCACAAAGCTCTATGTGCTGAGTAGGAATATCTTGCTCACTTGTGAACCCAGGGCTCCTCCTCTCTCCCTTCCTGGGAGCATGAGAGTATATGATAAATCAGAGTCGTTTTCTTAAGGGAAACTCTAGCATGTAATTTCAGCCACAGGTGGATCTCTTCTGTTCCTCCACGGACTGGGCATTGCCAGCCCTGCTGTAGCTGGTTGAAGGGGACCAAACCTCTCAGGAAGACGGACTTGGTTCCGTTTGACCAGCCAGAGCAGGAGGCAGCTCCACTGGGAGGCGACTGCAGGCAGCCTCTAGTGTGAAGGTTCCTTGGTATACCCCAAGCACCGTTGGTCCAAGCCTGCAACACAGAGAGAACCAGCATTAGCATGAATCAAATCACAGTAGCTTGCCTTGCCCAGAATGTCCTCTCACAGGACTTGTGAAAACCACACATAATGTTTATCTTGAATTGCATGACTTCGCTTTATTTTCTTTCTTTGATCCTTATTCTTTTTTCATATAGAAACATTGTAGAGAACTACAAAGACACAGAATTGTGGAAGATGAAAAAGAAGTCTATCATAATTCTCTCTCATCCCATCTTCCAAAACAAATTTAACATTTTGGTTTATGTTCTTTAAATAATCTTACATTTTAATTTTTAAAATAAATTAGAAATGATTGTAAGAAATGTGATGCATATATAGAAGAATGTATGTGATCCGTGTGTAAGTCGTGAAGCGTGATGGTAAAGTGGTACCCTCAAGCAACCACCTACTTAGAAAGGGAACTTTATTGATATCATGGCGCTTCCTGAATGCTTTCCCCAGTTTAGCTCTTTAATTTCTCCTTAGAGGTAACTACTACTCTGAGTTCCTTTCTAAAATACAATTTAAACAGTCTTTTAAAATAATTTTTACCATTGATGTATATATTCCTAAATAATACATTGTTCATTTTTTTAATATAATGGAATCATACCATAGGCATTCTTCTGTGACTTGGTATTTTCACTTCAAATGACATTTGAAAGCTTCACCCACAATGACTGGCAAATGTAGTTTATTAATTTTTATTGTTTTATAGTTTTCTACTATGTGAACATACTCTATTTTATTTAGTCATTTTCTCAGCAATAGACCTTGAGGTTGTTTGGTTTGACAAATGGGTAAAGTGGGAAAATTTTTGATTCTTGTAAGTTTTAAAGGGTGAACCTGGATTCCAGTACATAAGAATGTACAGGCTGACCTTGCAAGGGAAAAGCAACATTTACCAGTCCACAACTTCTTGGGGGTCGAGCCAGAAATTTTTATTTTAAACTGTTCTTCAGGTGATTCTGGTGCAGCTAAAGTTTGAGAACCACTGGACTCGAGAGATACCCACTGATTTCCTTCTATTTCTAAGTGTGATCAAGGGGTAGGGAGCTGATTAAGAAGGAGGCTCTCCCTAAAAATGTGGCTGGCTACTTTCACAATGTATTTGAACAGGTGGAAAAAGAGGTGGGAAAAAGGGATAGTTTGAATGATGTCAGAAAACTGCTCTTGGGGGGTAGGCTTTGCCTGCCCTTCTGTTTCTTCTCCCTGTTGAAGACAAGTGTAATATAGTAGAAAGCATGTGGCCTTGGTGTTATGGTTACCTGGGTTCAAATCCCACTGTTGCTTCCTGGCTCTTTTGCTCTTAGGAAGTTATACAACATCTTTAAACCTCAACTTCAACATCTGTGCAGTGGGGGACCATACCTGCCTTGCCCACTTGTTGTAACGCTTAGTGAAAAAAGAGAAAAGGTGGCCAACACTAAATCTCTGGTGGGCACAGTGGACACTTACAGGGGCCATGGAGTCCTTGAGATAATTCTAACTGCTTCTAAGGCCAAGGGTTTCATTCTTAATTCCAGCCTGTCCTTCATGCATTTCCCTTCCCTCAGCTGTGTTTTCATTTCACCTCTGAAATGTTAGAACCACTGATCAGGCAAAAGAACTATTTTACCCAACCAAGGGGACTTCTGCCAGCTGAACCCTAACTTGAGTGCTCTGTCTAGAATAAATAAGCTAGTGCAGAACTCAAAGAACTCAACAAGGCACTGTAGAGATGGCAAGTAGGTCAAAGCACGCTGTGATGGTGGTGGTGGGAAAGCGGTGGGCCCCAGCAACTGTGGTGCAGCTCTAGGAGGTCTGTGCAGGGTGATATTGAAGCTTCTTTCATGTACGAAGTCCCCTCATTCTCGGTATGCATTCTGCTGGCTCAGCAGTCAGGCATCTTAACTCCTACTGCCAATGACAGAGGGGTCTCAGCTCTTCCTCTGGCTAACCTCACCCTTGCCAGTCATTCTTCTCTAGCTCCCCCCGGGGAACTAGGGGGCAGTCAGCCATGAGGTGCAGCGTG